CAGGATGAGCTCCACGTCCGAGAAGGCCACCGGGGCCTGGGTGGAGTCGCAGGAGCTCGGCTCCAGCTGGCCAGCGGCCGCCAGGGTGAGAGGCCCCGGGACCCCCAGGCAGGGCCGGAGCCGCCGCAGGTCCTCCCGGAAGTGGGGGCTGCAGAGCAGGTAGAGCAGGGGGTTGAGGCAGGCGGGCAGGGGCAGCGCCAGGAGCAGCACGGACTTGACGGCCTCGGGGGTGACGGGGACGAGGCCCAGCGCGGACGCCAGGCTCAGGAAGGCCACAGGGCAGTAGAGGAGCCCGTCAGCGAAGGTGAGACGGGCCACGTGGCGCACGGCGGCGCAGTCCCACACGGCCTCCAGCTCGGCCCCGGGCAGCTCGCAGGACAGCCTGACGTAGGCTGCGGCCACCGCCAGGAAGCAGGAGGCATTCAGCATCGCCAGCGCCGCGGCGAAGCCCAGGGCGGCCGGCCGGCCATCGGGCGGGGCGTACGGCAGGCAGAGCGGGGAGGCCCCGTACTCACCCACGGAGGCCAGTGGCAGGGCGGCCGCCAGCCCCGCCAGCGCCAGGCAGCCCAGGGCCCCCGCACGCAAGCTGCCCGGGGCCGGCGCCTTCCCACGGGCCCGCACACAGGCCACGGCCACGCTGCAGTGCACGGCGGCCAGGGTCAGCAGCAGCACGGAGGCCTCGGAGCCCAGCACGGCCAGGAAGCCCACGGCCCGGCAGCCCGGGCCTGACTCCCAGCGGGCGCCGTACTCCGCGAACCGGCCGAAGGTCAGCGCGTCCACGGAGGCGAGAAGGCCACAGGAGAGACCGGTCAGGGTGTTGGCCCCTGCGATGGCCCCCACCACGAACTTGAGCGGGGGCAGGGGGCCGGGCCCGGCTGCGGACAGGCTCAGCAGCACCAGCCCGTTGCAGAGCACGGAGAGCAGCACGGTGGCCCACACGGCCAGGCGGACGCCCCAGCTCTCGAAGAGGTGCTCGCAGGGCTTGAAGGGGCCTGCGGGAGAGAGGACCAGACTAGCCTGGGGCCGCGGGGCAGGCACGGCCTCATCCATCTGCAGGGCAGCCCTGCAGGCCACCGGGAGTCTCAGGACTGCTGGTGGGTCGGGGGGAGGGGCAGAGGGGACACAGAAGGAGGACTTCCTCCACGAGCTGCGGCGGGTGGACACCAGCCCAGGACACGGAGGCACAGACATGTGAGAAACGCACACGCGGTACAGACTAAGGCAGCACGGACCAGCCTTGGGGAAACATCAGGCAGAGCAGCCCTCCCCAGAGAGCAGCACCCAGAGCAAGGAAGGGACAGGCTGGCCTGGAGGCAGGGCAGCAGCCCTAGGGACAGGCTGGGGCCAACCCGCAGAGCGGCACCCAGAACGCTGCCATGAGGAGCCTGGCCAGGTGGGCTCTCCCTGGTTCCTCGGCCACATTTAACGCTCACGACTGGGTCAGTGTTGGGGGCAAAGCCTACTGAGAACATCAGAGGGCAGGTGGCCCCTGGGGTTTTCCCGTCTGGTTCTGCACTGGATGGGGGACAGCCTGGCGCTGTCCATCTCTCTCCCCAGGCCCTGTCCTCAAACCACCTTGTAACTCTGGGCCTTTGCTCTTTCATCCATCGTGACCTGGACTCCTGTGCTTCCATGTGCTGCTAGGCGGCCTGGGGATTTGAGAGGATTTGTGACAGCTATTTTTTAAACATGTTCTTTTTCTGATTACCAAATAGTAGATGTCAATTGTAGAAAAATTGGAAAATGTAACATGGAAAGATTGAAACTGCTTATGATCGCTCCTCAGATAAACTCATCATTTTGCTATGTTTTCTCTGAGTTTTAAGAAATACATATATACATATAGATTTTTTTAACTAAACTGGGACTTTACATAGTTTCTCATCCTTTCTCTTTTTAAAAGTTTATTTATTTGGCTGCGTTGGGCCTTCGTTGTGGTGCGCGAGCTTCTCATTGCAGTGGCTGCTCTTGTTGCAGAGCACGGGCTCTAGGTGCGCGGACTTCAGTAGTTGTGGCACGTGGACTCAGTAGTTGTGGCTCGTGGGCTCTAGAGCGCAGGCTCAGTAGTTGTGACGCACGGGCTTAGTTGCTCCGTGGCATGTGGGATCTTCCCGGACGAGGGACTGAACCCTTGTCGCCTGCATTGGCAGGTGGATTCTTAACCACTGCACGACCAGGGAAGTCCCATAGTTTCTTATTCTCTTTTTTCAGTTAAAGTTTTATCATGCACACTTTCCCATACAGTTACATCACTGAAAAACACGTTTTAGGTGTCTGTGCAGTGAATATGGGCGCACCGGAATTTATTTGGCCATTTGTATGTGCTATTGTAAAAGTGAGTGCAAGCTGGATTTTGTCTTTTGGAGCTTCCCCTTTTATGTCGTCGCTGCTGATCACCGGTTTTCAGAGGCCGCGTGAACACGCACCTGCCCCTCCAGGTGCGCTGGTGCGCTTGCCGCTGCGGGCACTAGAGGGCGCGCTACAGCCGCGAAGCGCGGGGCGCGCGTGCTGCGGGGCCTGGGCGGGGCTGGAGAGCTGGTGAGAGGGACGCTGTCCACTGCCTTCCACTCGTCCGACGCTTCCCGGCCCGGCTCCCGTGGCCGCTGCCGCCTCCGGGGCGGCCTGGGGCTTCACGCTAAACACAGAGGCTGGGCTGGACCAAAGGGGAATTTTCTGCTTCTTGACAGCAAGATGGATTTAGCAGAGACTGAAGGAGACTTCCTCAGCCGTTACGGAGCGGACAGTGCTGGAAGGAGCCCCCGGGGACACCCGGTGTTTTACGCCCGGGAGAGCTTTACCTACGAGAGGCGGCACCCCTCCTGGGATGGAGTGGGGAGGGATGCAGAAGGGGGCCTTGCAGGGTGCTGCCCTGCTCGAACTCTGTGGGTCTCAGATGAGCCAGCCCCTCACCACCACCCTGAGCAGTGGGGTCTCTTCGCTGAGAGAAAGTTCCTCCTGGCTGTATCACCTCTGGCGATTCGTAAATGTCGCTTTGACTCCCCTCCCCTCCCCCGCTCCCCCCAAGCAGCCACCGAAGGGGGGCGACAGCCCCTTCCCCGGGAATGACCAGAAGAGGCTGAACTCGCCGAAGAGCGGGGGCTCCTGCAACGGAGCAGGACGCTGTGGTCCTCCCCACACCCATGTCCTCCGCCTGCCTCTTGTCGGTTTTAACCAAAGAGTAAGTTTAACCAGAGAAGTGAGAAAACGCAGAAGCAAAGGAAAGAGTCAAGCAGGACTAAATAATAATAGTCATCGAGCAAAGTCAAGGGCCTTCAGTCCCTCCTCGAGGGCTGTAGAGAATATTCTGAGCCATGTCCTGTGAGCTGTTTTATAGATGCTGAAACCCGCCCCCGCCAGCTGGAAGAAGTGAACTACATGATGACCAGGCTGTAGCCGTGACCTAAGCTGCCACAATTCCGAGAACCGGCCTCAAGAAATGGGAACAAACCGACCCTGGAACTGAAGCCTAACTGTGCTTAAAAACAATCAAGGTGACGCTGATCAGACCACCGATGACCAATTTCAAGATGACCGTCAGAGCTGACTGTGCTGTTTCTGCATGTAGCCCCCTCCCTCTGCCTATACATCCCTGAAACTCCCCCGTAAAAGCTCTTGGCCACTGACTGTCGGTGGGGGGAGTCGGCCTTTGGACATGAGTCCACCCTCCCCCTCCCAGGTTGCCAGCCTGCAAGGTAAAGCAAACTTTCCTTTCCACCGACCTTGTCTCTCGAGTATTGGCTTTCAAAAGGCGAGCAGCTGGACCCCACTTTCCGTAACGCTCCTCACCCAGTCCCTGCCCTCCCCACCCCGAGGCACCCCTCTCACCTGGAACAGGGCTGCACTGGACAGTGGGGTGTGGCCTGGGGTCCTCCACCTCCAGCTGGAGCTCGTCTGGGTCCACATCATCTGAGGGGGGACCAGAAACTGGCTCAGACCCTGGTCTTGGTGTGGATCAAGCCCCACCTTTCTCCAAAACCCCACCCCTCTGAGATGTTGTCCCGACTCGTCTGCTGGGCACAGGGCCTCCCCACGGCCCTGCACAGGTGTGTCTACCCTCGGGGGCAAACCTCTGGTCAGCTGCCTGTTATCCGCCTGTGGCCCTCAGACACCGAGTGCCCCCATGTCCTCCCGGGCAGCTGCACAGAGTCAGGGGAGGCTGCCCTGCTGGTGGGGGCCCTCCACACGGGCCAGCCCACCGCTGTGACCCCGTGTCCAGCTGGGAGCCCTGCACACTGCAAAGGACAGAGCAGCGAGCGGGATGCGCTCGGAGGAGGTGGACCAGGGACGGTGACGACAGCGGAGCTGCTGGGTGTGTTGGACTCAGAAAAGGCAGGGTGAGGGGAGGAAGGCCGTCCTCAAAGAGCTGCCGGCCTGCAGGCATCACTACACCCCGACGTGCTGATGGTCCCAGGCGGCAGAACCAGCATCAACAGACGGGTCACAGAAGGAGGCAAATCATGATCCAGAGGGAGAAGCTCTGGTTCTCCCTACACAGAGAAGCTCCCACCATCAGAGGTCACGTGTGCTGAGCGCAGAACCCTGTTGCTGGGCGTTGGGCACAGGCGGGGTGGCATGTGGGGTGGACGAGACGCGGCCCTGCTGTCGAGGAGCCGTGGGCACGCACACTGCACCCACGAGGAGGTCACCTGGTGCCAGGGCTGGGGCTGCCCCAGCTCTCATCCTCCAGGCCCTGTGCCTGCGGAGTCCTCACCGACCCTCCCCACAGCTGCAGGAGGCAGGCAGCCCCGGGCATCATCGGACACGTGAGGAAAGCGAAGACCTCGCCTTGGGTCTCACAGCCAGTGAGCGACAGAGCAGAAGTCAGACCGAGCCTCGCTGCTGGGCTGCAGAGCCAAGGTCGGGGGACAGGGAGACGGTTGGGGGAGCTTTACAGATGCACGCGGTGTGCGTAACTGGAGAGACTGGAGCAGGAAGTCTCCAGTGTGAGGAGGCGCTTCTCTACTGCATTAGCAGATAGACTAGATCATCTTTAACCATCCTTCCAATTCTAAGTCTAGGCTCTGCGATTCTCTCTGAGAAAATAGGATTAGAAAGGCAAATCCCTTGTTAAAGAAACTCCAAAACGTTTTTGAATCAAATGGCATTATTTTCCTTATCTGCTCTTGTGCTGTTTATTAAACCAGGGCCTGCAATCTCCAGGGGGGTGGACATCTCAGGGCCCATAAATTCTTTAAGGATATTGAAATGATAAATGATAACTAAACCAGTTTATAGTTTATAAAGACAAAACTCTCTTGCAGTGATAATTCATCATTGGAAGATCCCCCTTGAGGCTTGTGGGATCTTAGTTCCCCGACCAGGGATTGAACCCCGGGCCCCTGGCAGTGAGAGCGCAGAGTCCTAACCACGGGACCGCCAGGGAGTTCCTGGAAAGTTTCTGGAGTTGGGTTGGGGTAGGTGGGGGAAACTGCCTCTCCTGGAAGGTTAGGGAGCCGGGCCAGTGGGCTCTCCACCGTGTACAGGCCAGGCCCAGGCAGGCGACCGTTTGTCACGCTTGTCCCCGCCTTCAGCTCACATGTCTGCTTCCTGTGTGGAGCCTTCCTCCCACTTAAAGGGTAAACAGTTCAGTTGGGAGCTTTCCCTGGAGGCAGGGAGGCCCTGTGGAGCTGCCCATGGTCTGGGCGCTGTTGGGTGGGCAGGGGGCCGGGCTGTGCCCACAGCCTAGCATTCCATCCCTCGCCACCTTTCCTGCTCTGTAGAACGGAGCTCAGCAGTGCTTGGAAATCAAAATGCACGGATGAGGGCTTCCCTGGTGGCGCAGTGGTTGAGAGTCCGCCTGCCGATGCAGGGGACGCGGGTTCATGCCCCGGTCCGGGAAGATCCCACATGCCGCGGAGCGGCTGGGCCCGTGAGCCATGGCCGCTGAGCCTGTGCGTCCGGAGCCTGTGCTCCGCGACGAGAGAGGCCCGCGTACCGCAAGAAAAAAAAAAATCAAAATGCACGGATGAGATGCAGGAGCTGAGGCCCGTGGACTCCGTCTGAGGCTGTAAGGTCACAGCCAAAGTGCTAAAGACTGCTCTTCACCGAGGGGGAAGTGGGATATGGCTGTAGCCGCGGCCCTGGCCCCCTCCTAGGCTCAGCAGCTCCTCAGGAAGTGGGGCCCGGCCCTGGTGCCGTTATGGCAATGGCCGCCCACGATCCCGATGCCCTATGGTTCTCCCAGACTCTGGCCTGGTGGAGTTTCACTTTCAGGAAGGAAGGTTTCCACTCCTTCCATCCCTGTGGAGTGGATGGCAGACACCCAGACCGCCCCAGGGAAGCTGCTGCCCCTGCCGGGCCTCACACCCTCCCAGGAGGGCTCCAGTCCCCTTCGCCTGCCCACGACGGCCTCCTGGGCTCCCAGCTACACTCCTGCGTGTCTGGCCAGAGGCCCCTCCGTGAGTAGCCACCGTGGACGGAGGGCACACGCGTCTGTCTGCGGGATCTTCAATGCTCCCGACGGCCTGTGGGGCGTGAACGCCGCTCCCAGTTTACGGATAAGAAATGGAGGCTCCGCAAGGCCTCGTCCGCAGTGACCCGACCCCTGAGTGGTCTGGTGGAGTTAGAACCTGGGTCCGTCTACACTGGCATGAATGTTCTTACGTGTTTAGAGCTGATCTTTCTGTTTAGCTTCTGCACTGACACACTGAGAAGAGGGAGTTAGAGACTGAAGGGAAACCCCGGAGCCGGGGCCCTTTCCCCTCCCTCCCAATTCTGCTTGCGCTCTGCAACCGGGGCCAGGCCACGAAGACCTTCTCTCTGCCCTTCATCAGAGGCCCCAGCCCGTGGGTGTTCCCCTCTGGCCTCCCCGAGAGGCCCCCGGGCGCCAGGGCCTCTGATGCCCCTGGTGAAACAGCGGGGCAGACGGCGGGGGCAGCAGTGACCCCCAGCTGGTCCTTTTGGCTCTGAGACAGCGTGAGAGGGCTCTTTTCCAGAAGCAGGTTTAATTAATTGATTTAACCTGACCCCGCCTGGCTCGGGCTGACTGGAAAACGCTGTCTGCTCTGAGGACGCCCGCTGCAGGGCTCGCGTGGCGGGGCGGGGGGCGCCGTGGAGGAGCTGCGGCCCACGAGGCCCACCAGGACAGGGCTGTCACGTGAGCCACGGCCTGGGGCGCGCCCTGGGGGCCACAGAGGACTTGGCAGGCGAGAGGCCTGCCTGCCGTCAAGGTCAGCGCCGCCCTTGTGTCCCCGGGCCTGGGGGACAGGCGTGAACAGGGGCCGCCCCTCCCTGGGCCCCCGGCAGCCCCTGCTGGCTCCCCTCGGGGTCCTGCGCCTCCTCCCTCCCGGCCCCCCCCCCACGGCCCCCCGGGTCACTCACAGCGGCTCTCGGCTGCGCCGGCAGGGAGGCCCAGGGGCCTTTTGGGAGCGTCGCGGTCGTCAGGGTGAGGGCCCTGGGGCGCCCGTTGGCCCAAGGCCTTGAAGACGCCGCGGCACACCTGCACCTCTGGGAGGGAGCTGTGAAGAAGGAAAGGTTTCCACACACTAGGAAGCCCCTTCACTGGCGGGGGGGTGCGGGGGGGGGGGGGGGGGGGGGGCACGGCCACCTTAGCCACGGCCGGGGCCCGGCGGCCCGCAGCCGCCCGCTGCCCCCGAGCGCCCTGACCGCCATCCAGCCTCGTCCTCCCCCATCTAGAGGCCTGAGCCAGGCTCCGACGGGGAGCAGCCGGGCCACGCAGCCTGGGAGCCCCGCCCCTCCGGGCAGCCCTCCTCTTCCGCTCGCGAGGAGACAGGCCTCTCCTGGCCGCTCTTCACCCTCGCTCTCCGTGAGGCCTGCGCCCTGTGCCTCTGGGAACGTCACAGCCGGGTCGGCGCCCTGCGGGTGAGGCCGGACCCCCGTTGCTTTGCAGCAGACAGAGCGTGGGCCACACGGGCCGAAGGAGGCCTGGGGTCCTCGGCACCAGCAAGGGCTGAGCGGCTGTTTTCTACTCATCAGCACCCTGGGCTCGGCCCTGATTCCAGGCCCGGAAGCTGCCCAAGCAAGCAGGGGGCCTTCCCACCATCTTAGCTCTGTCCTCGCCGGGGTCCCCCAGGGCTGGGGCTGGAGAGGGAAATGCTACGCGGGGATGAGGGGGAAGGGGCCCTCCGCACTCAGGCCTGGCCAGACCCTGGGCCTCCAGGCTTTTCTCGGGGTGAGGCCGTGGGCTCTCTCCTGTCCCTCCTGGCCTGGCCACTGCCCTGAGGCAGACCTCTGTAGGTGTGGGGACGGGAAGCCTCACCTCAGTCTGGGGAAGCTGTCCTTGGGGAAGGCCTGGGACAGAGCCCAGTTCCCTTTGAGCTTCAGATGCACCAGGCCCCCAAGCCCGGCCAGGGGCAGTGTGGTCAGCTGGTTGTACGTCAGGTCCCTAGGACAGTGGATGGTCAGGGTCACTGGCAGTCAGGGGGTGGCTGGAGGCGGGTTGTGCTGGAGGCGTGGCCAGTGTGCCCGGGATGGGAGCCAGAGGAGAGGAGGGAAGGAAGGCTCGGGGGAAGGAGCACGGGTGCCCGGCAGAGGCGGCAGGGTTGCCAGGGCTCCGTCGTCCCCGACCCGTGGGACCTCGGGGGCCGGTTACACAGGGCTGTTGGAGGTGACGCCACGCCGTCCCAGCTCCTGGGTAACACAGCCGCTCGGCCACAGCTGCTGGGCCCCGTCTGAGTCCCACCGGAGTCCCTGTCCAGCCCACCAGGGCGTCCACCTGCTGTGCCGGCCCCCGGCCCCCTGCTCTTCTGAGGATGCGGGGGCCAGAGCTGGGACTGAACAGCGTGGCCGTCTGGCCGCACGCAGGGGTTCGGTCGCCCGTTCTGTTTCAGGGCCAGCTTGGTAGCCAGAGGTGAAGATGTGCATGGCTCCCCCTGGAGGAATATCAGAAGACGCCAGGCCTCCAAACCAGACAGCGCGGCCACAGACCAGCAGCGTGGAAACGGCCTGGGCTGGATGTCAGGGAACCGGGCCCCATCACCAGCTCCCCGTGAAGCCGAGGCGTGTCGCAGGTCTGCCCGAGCCTCAGCGGCCTCATCTTTCAAAGGGATAAAAATACCCATCCAACTGCTGTGGCGGGAGCAGAGCGAACGGGCGGGAAGCAGCGGTGAGAGTGTGGCCTGAGCCCAGAGAGCAGGGCTGTGAGCGCCGGGGTCCCGGCCCCTTGAGTGAGCACCACCTCCGCAGGCCGGGGAGCACCTAAGAGGCGAGGGGCAGGGCTGCACGGCCTCCGGCAGATGCGCCTTCAGGACGCAGTGCAGAACACGCACCACTGTGCGCCGCGGCCCCGCACGCTCCCCGTTCCCGCCCCGGTGGCTTAGGGACCTGGCTGCCCGGGGGCTGAGGCTGCGCGTGGCACCGCAGAGCTCGTAGGGGTGGTTCCTGCTCATCAGGCCCCACGTCTGTCCAGGGGGCTGCGAATGCCGGTTAGGCTGGAGCCATGTCCCCAGCACGTGTGGCCGACACCCACGCGTGTCCCACCCCAGGCCGGGCCCTCCTGCCCCTGCTGGGCAGCCCACAGGCCCACGGTGCTCCAGCACCCAGGAGGAGAGGGCAGTGGATACTCACAGCTTGACCAGGGAGCGCAGGGTCGCGAAGGCCTCGGGGTGGATGGACCGGATGGCGTTCCAGCTCAGGTCCCTACGGGCAGAGGACGTGACAGGAGGGGACAGTGACACATGGAGGACCCGTCGTTCTTACCCTGGGTCACCGACACATGTGCCATGGTGTGGGCATGCAGGGAGGCTGCCCGCTGGGGGTCCTCACGGGGCGCAGGCATGCAGGGAGGGCCCCCCCCACCCTAGGTACTCACAGGGCCTGCAGGGAGGTCAGCTGGTGGAAGGTGTCAGCTCTGATTTCCCAGATGCGGTTGTGCTGGAGGCCACTAGGGCAGTGAGAGAGGCTGGATGAGCCCAGAGGCCCAGACACTGCCCCCAACCCCGACCCCACCCACTGGGCGGAAGAAAGGACCCAGCCCGCAGAATCACCAGAATTAAAGGGAGCATGGGGGATGTGGCTGCCTTGGGTAAATGGGTCAGGAGACAAAGCTACAAAGCCGTCCCTGTGGCCCCAAAGGGAGTGAGCTTCCAGGGTTCCCACTGGCCCTGGCTCCCAGCCCAGCTGGCCTCACTCCTCGGGCCCTCCAGACCCTAGTCCAGCAGCAGAATACTGCCCAGCCCCTGGCGGCCCCAGACGGGCCCAAGCTGGGAGGCAGAGCTCAACAGACTGGCGTCTGAGTGGGAGACGGACCCTGGGCCTTGGCAAAGGTGCAGACCCTCCTTCCTTCAGTGTCATGGCACCAGGACAGGCCCTCACGTCCCCGACCCTGCCTGGTCCGAGGGCCCAGGCTCGGAGGGCCGGAGGCCCTGTCACCTGGGGAAGCAGAAGCTGGGTGAAGGGAGCTCGGAGAATCTGTCAAGTGGTTTCGGTCCCCGTGGAACCTGCAGGCCAGGTTTCCCTCCTGGACACGACTGTGCACGTGTGTGTGTGCTTATGGAAACCGAGAGCCTGGGCACTTCCAGTCCCCCACGGCCACCCCATATCCAGCCCACCTGCCCCTCCGCTGGCCCTAATCACTGTCACGTTTCCTGCTGCCTTGACTCGCAAGGAGCCGCCTCGAGACCCCTTTTGGGCACCATCTCCTGGGCTGTCACTACGAGTCCTGGCCTGTCCCGGCCTCTGCCGAGCTCCCAGCCCTGACCTCAGGGTCAGCAAGCCCAGGGAGGGGAAGGTCAGAGTGCTTGCTGACCCCGCCCTCAGGCCCAATGCCCCAGACTCACATTTCCTCCAGCTTCTGACACCCATGCAGGCTGGGCAGCCCCTCGATCTGGTTGTGAGACAGCTCCCTGGGGAGAGGGGGCCGGGCTGGTGAGGGGAGCTGGGCCTCAGGGACACGGCTGTGGACCTCCTCACCCCGGGCACTTCCCTCCAGCTCCCCGCTGGGCCCCTCCTCTCTGCGGGGCCTGGATGGGGCTGCCTCATCCATATGAAGGCCCAGGGGACCCTGGGAGGGCCCCGGGGGTCAGGAAGCAGGAGGTGAGAGGGGCACAACAGGGCCACACTGGGACGAGCCAGCTGGCCGAGGCTACCCAGGCGGTACCACTGTCACAGTACGGAGCTGACGCCCCTAGGGATCCCCCGGCCCAAGCCCCCATCCAGCTGAGGCACAGAGGGGATAGGACCTGCCCACGGACACACAGCCTGTTGGTGGCAGGCTAGACACCCGTCCAGGGCTGGTCGTGCACATCTTGAGCCAGGGGCTGTGGTCCATGGTGAGCACCTCAGACCCGAGTGAGACTCAGGGGAGAGGAAACTCCCTGCTCCTCACGGGACACGTAAGCTCCTCTGTGGTCCCCGTGTAGACTCGGGTAGCCTATTAGAGCCACTCTGGGGGGACCTACGACGTGCCGGGCACTTCCAACCCTCCTAAATGAGCCCACGTTTTGCAGATGAGAAACCAGAGCTCAGAGACACAAAGCGGGAGCCGGGATTCACCGGCCGGAAGTGGCAGAGCTCGGCCTCAGCCCCGGCCCTGACTTCGAAGACAGAGGCTTTTCCCCGAATGGGAGAGGGCAGCCCAGTCCCTCTCGGGCAGGTCTCAGCCCAGGCTGCCTCTCTCCAGGAAGAGAGTGACCAGGGGACGGAGGCCAGAGGGGCCTTGCCAGGCGGGAGGGCGCGGGAGGCACTCACAGGACACGGAGCCTGGGCAGCTGCTGGCACATCCCCGGGGGGAGCCGCCGGAGGCCCACACGGGTCAGGGTCCTGCGGGGAGAACGGAGCGGGGCTGGCACCGACCCGGGCCCTGTCGTCCCCGGCCCCTCCCCCCGCCTCCCCTCTGGCCTGACGCTGACGTGGGAGCACAGAGCTGACAAAAGAGAAGTGGGGGGCACGGGGCGGGGTGCTGCGGGGAGAGAGAGGAGGAGGTGGGTTGGGGTGGACAGAGGGGCACAGCCGGGCACCGCCTGGCAGGCGGTCCTGCAGCCAGACCCTCCCGCCCTCCCCTTCGTGTCCCCCCACGTCTCCTGGTGTCACCAGCAACACGGGGGCCAGACCCTTTTCTGCTCCTTGTAGGGGAGGGGGACCATGCGCAGGCCGTGGATGGAAACTCCAGCCCCAGTGGGGCCCTGGGAACCAAGCCCAGAGCCCGTGCCCTGTGCCTGGCGCAGGGAGGATGCCGGGGCGCCCGGGGCGGGGCAGTGGGCTGCGAGCAGGCTGCAGAGCGGCGGCCTCGGGACAGGGTGCTCCAGGGAGGGCGTGAGGCCGAGGTCACCCTCAGGGAACTATTCTTCCCTCGAGGAAGATTTTCCAGCTCTGGGTGTCCGCGTGGCCCTTCTGCTCACTCTCTTACAGTGAATCGAGGGCCTGCTACTCTCTCCCCCCTCCCCCCCAGGACGAAGTGGCAACCAGGAAGCACAGGAGGTGGCTGTCACAGCCCTCCTGCCGCTCCCGGGTCCTCCGTGCACCTCGGCTTGTGGTTAGGATCGCCGAGAAACCCCAGGCTGGGAAAGCGGGGAAGAGCAGCCCCTCCCGCCCCGAACCACCTGCCAGCCTGGTGGGAGCGGCCAAGGGCCCCTCTGGGCCAGGCTAGAAGGCCAGACAACGGGGACCAGACTCTGGGGGGCTCTGGGGGGCGACAGGGGATCGGGGGGCCAGCGTCCACTCACAGGATCTCCAGACTGGTGGTGCCTTTGAGATCTGGGAACCCCTGGATGTCCGTGGCACCATTCAGAGATCTGGAGATAGAGCACCAGGTGCTGAAGGGGGGGTCAGCCCTCAGGGACCACCCCCACAGGGACCCCATCTTCTGGGGACACCGTCCTTCCCCGACCTCCCTCCGGTGACCCCAGCTGCTCAGGCCCTGGTGGAGGCTGGATGCCTAGCAGGGTCCAAGCTGCCATTTCCTAGGTCAGCTCCACCCAGCCTGGCCCGGACAGAGCCGGTCACCTGGCCCCCAGCCACCTGGCCACCCAGTTACCCAGGCCCAGTGCGCACAAAACACAGGCAGGGACCGTGGGACTCGCCCCGTTTGAAAGGCAACGGCTTGAGTGCTTCCGAAAAGGTGTTTGTCTGCTGGGGTTGCTCGTTGGAGCCGGGAAGCGGGTCTCCCCTAAGTGTCACCTGCCGGGGTTTCCCCCAGTGGTCACCCCACCTCGGGGGACCACGCGGGCCTGCACGCGACAGGAGCCCAGCAGGATGGGTGCCGCCGGATCCCGAGGAGGACCCTGGGCTCGGGCCTGAGCGGGAGAGCCTGGGGTCCAGCGATGAAACATACGGATGGCGCCAGCCTCAGGGGTGAGAGTGGGGTGCACAGGAAGGTGGAGCTTGCGCCCCGAAAGACTCAGGGGCATCCCTGTGGTGCTGCGTGTAGAGCGTCACCTGCAGGAGGTTTTCTGAAGACGTTGCACTTGGGATGGGAATTGAAAGAGCAGGAGAGACGAGGATGCCTTTGGGTGTCCAAGAGTCACAGGGTGTGGCTCTGGGGGCCCCGGAGAACCAGAACCTTGTCAGGTTGCTGCTCCTTCAGCTATGTGAGCAGGACCCTGACTTGGCGGGACTGGCGGGTGGGGGGTGGTGCCAGAGGGCAGGGGGAGGCACCAACTCAC